TCCAGCTTAGCCACAGATGCACAAACACTGTGAAAGAAGAACGTCTACTCTCTATGATGGCTTTAAAAAAATCAGAAAAGCAAGTAAAACAAAATCCATTTCTTAAGCAAACATTCAATAAAAAAAAATCACTTTATGTTTATAAAAAAGATATTTTAACAAAGGTTTAATTTAAAAAGGCTAATAGCTGGGTATTCCAGAAGGTTTGAGTCATCCACAGTAATAATTAGGGGGTTTGTTCCATACAAAATGCTTTATTTAACCTTCATGCCTCCATTCAGATAATTATACAAATGCATACATTTAAAGGTTTAAACTCTATTTCAATTCACAGCTCAATTCATAGGAAAGTTGAATACAGAAAAGCAATGCACCAACAAAATATGTCTGAGACACCATTAAAAACAATAACACTTGTTCATTTAAATCTTTGAGAATAGAGTGGAATAATCATCCTCTGACAGAATTTCATTAGGGGACTCCCTTTACATTATCATAGGGCAAAAAAATCACCATTTTACAGTAAGAGGAAAAAAAGCTCTGAGTATATTTACAATACATACACTATACATAAATACAAGAACAACACTTACATAATATTAATAAACTTATAACATAGGTGTTGCCTAAACACTACATAGTATATAAATGCAGACAAAACTATTGGGAAATTAGATCTTCAGATGTTTACTTTTATTTTTGAAGAAAAGTAATTCTTGCATTTAAAAGCTTTTGAAAAGAAGGCAAAAGAAAGACTTAAGAAACTAAAATGTTTGCTTGCTAGCACTGGTATTTTTATTTCTTTTAAGTGTAGGACCTCTATTGACACCATTATCTCTATGGGGTTACCGATAATGACCCTCCCTTTTGCATCTTATCTAGGAAAAAGATTGAGGTGCCCTACATACTAATTCCACTGCTGTGAAGCTTCAGTCCCAAATTAATCGCTTTGTAAACCAAGGGATGTTTTTGTATTTTTACACAGGAGGATCAAATGAACACTCATTGGTACATACAATGATTAAAGTCTTGATTAGAAGGAACAATCTGGGGCCAAATGCAACCCCATCCTTAGGATTTCACTCAACTAAAGCCATAGGGGAATTTGCTTCTTCCATAAGCGATTTGGCCAAGAATGGTATTTTTCATTTTTATTGTGTCTTCCTAAACACAGCTGAAAGAACTTTCCAATTTAATGGTAATTTTGACCCCACATGTTGATAGCAGCATCCAAATCACTTCAAGTGCATGAATGCATGTGTCTGTGTGTGTGGGTTGGAGGTCTTAAGGCTGATGGTGCATGAAACTGAAGTAATTCATTATTATCTCTGTGTATATTCTATTGCAAGGGCAAATGGGAGATGTAACCTTTTAGGGACAAACAGCAGGTCAAGAGATCATTTTGTGTAGGTGTTCCATGCATAATTTATATTACTAACAAAGCAATGTATAGAACAATAAGAAAAGAAATTAACTATGGGGATTTTTAAATGAAAAATAAGATGCAAATGTAGCAGTGAAAAAAGAGTTTGAAACCAGAAATGACAACATGAACTCTGAACTGTGGAAAAGACTAGCTCAGCCATGTGGATTATGGATCAAGTTGTCTTTCCAAAGAAGCGCTTTACATCTAGAAAGGCAGGGACAGGGAAAAAAGCAGTATCTGAACCTGTATCTGTATTTCATGGTTCATGCTTATGACAAGCCATCAAAGCCATCATCTATGGTCCTCTAGCAGTCACTGAACTATTTTATAAATGCAAAGGTCACAACATGGAGCAAGGTTTAGCAAATTAACTTATGAACCACCATTCACCTCTTCTTTTATAACTGGCAGCATCTCGGCTCCTGAAACTTTTGAGACTGAACTGGGGAAGCTGTTGCAGGTCACATACATATAGATAACAGAACCTCAAGTAATTATTCTATTCCTATTTTCCTAATAGCTAAAATTCACACGCCCAGCTTTGCTTGTCTGCAGGACTGAACAATTGTGTACTAAATAATCAAAAAATTACTACATGGGCAATTCCATTTAGTTTGTACTTTAAAATCAGTAAGCACTAGCTACTATAGAAGTTTGCTGGCAAATCAGTAAAACTGACAAAAACCCCCCACAACTCAGTATTTGTTTTTCAGAATGAATAAAAAAAAAAATCTGTCTCATTTTGGGACAGTAAAGACAAGGTTCTCTTTCCTATGCAACTAACACCCGTAATGCTGCAGTCAGCCAAACCTCCCAACACTGCAAGTTCCTAAGGATGCCTCCTTGTAGTGTTGCTGCTCCAAAACAAAGAATCAAACCCTCCTCTCCAACAATGGCTCAGGCTCTAGGTAAGAAACTATTGCTTCCTTTGTCCCTCTGATGACACATTCCCTGGTGCCCTCCCAAAATCCCCAGCATGAACTGTGCTCTTTTATGTGCTTAATACCTGGAGATTAAGCTCAGGATGACAGAATAAGTACGTGCATGTTCTGATGGGATTATTTCCACTGATGGCTAACATTTAAAACTAAGCTGCTACTAAACTAGCGGTCTTGTCACAGGATGAACCAAGGTGCATACATGTCTAGTTTTTACATGTGAGCCTATGTGCTTTTTAAATTCACCTGCACTTTCTTTTGTGTATGAGCATTATTGTGCACATCCAATCCTGCCCCCATGAATACAGCCCTAACAACAATCCCATTCCAGCAGCAACCCACCAATGGCAGCAAAAGTCTAGGCAAAATGTGGAATATTTTCAAATACAAAGTTCTGCCTGGATAAATACCAGGTACAAATTTAAAGGATGGAAAGCCGTCTTCCTTGGCAAAGGTATTAGGACTAGCAGTTACATTTTGATCTCCAACAAATTCATTTTTAGAAACAGAAGCAGCATGAGGGATGGCATTACACTGCTATTTTAAGACTCCATTAGCAGCGGTTAATAGTTTTTATTTCTACAGAAATTTACCAGATTAAAAAAACCCACATAATTGAGAAAAAAAGATTAGAAGAGTCACAGCTGGCCATTTTCTTGTAAGATCAATTAGTCTATTGATGCAAATGTCTAGGTCACCTGATATAATAAACCTCCTTACTCCATTTTAGGAACAGCAATTTATTGTTTGCTATTCAAATAGTTTCTAGACTGACAGTCCCCAATTTTTCATGCATTTGTCCCCCCAAAAAAGTGATATATTTTGTCCACTCCTGAAGTTAATCAATTCTAAGATGATACTAAATACCATGAGCACTACGTGACAAATAGAAAAGAGACATGAAGTGAACTCAGCATTTCTGGAGTCCAGTGCAGAGGATTATGCAAGGGAATCCCCATTCTACCACATACCCTAAAAAAGCTCCATTGGGTTTATTGCTGGTTTTTGGATTATTTCACTAGAGAATACCCTGGATACATGGGCACATCAGACACACACTAGGGGAAAAAACACCAAAACACTGCTTGACAATGACCTCCATTCACACCTACTGAGAATTGATATGGATACCAGTCACTTGTAAACTAAGATTGATTTTCTCCTTACAAGTATATGACAGATGTTATCTGAGAAAATAACTAAAACCTCTAACACAACATCTCAACATGTGAAAATACCAATGGCACTTTGTGTTTCTGTGCTGCATTATTGTTCACCAGGTAAAATTTAATTTTCACCTTACTGTTAACAGAATCCTGCAAGTTATTGCTGTGTAAAAGTATAGGAACATCCCATCAGTTTTAATTACAGGCACTTTCAGTTTCTGTTTCATCTTTTAAAAAAGATTTTAGGCTATCCTGCTGAAGTGTATGTGCATTTTAAACATCACAACTGTCCTGCTGCAACTGATTTGGTTGACATGTTACTGCATCTAGAAGACTAAACTCCCCTGGAATCGGCAAAGAGCAGCTGTCTATTTCAGCTCTGCAACCTTTATTCAAAGTGCACTGTAGTCAGGGGAAATATAAGAAGAAATAAAATCAAATGAGAGTTTGCCATTACTGCAATTCACCGTAAAATGCAGAAGGAAAAAAATATCATAATCCAACACAAAAAACCCCAAACCTTTCATACGGTTTCATCTTGATTGTTTCTTTTTGTATTCAGTCAAAGACATTCTGAGTGCTGACTTATTTGACACTGAAGGACTCAGTATGACTTTGCTATATCACATGCTATCTGTGAAACAGCAAAGAAGTGGCCACTCCATTTTGCAGAGAAAACATGCTCTGATAAAACTGAAAAACTTACTGCTTACATTTTCTGTTTAAGATTTGCTAGGCATTTTCTAACCAGTTTTCCTGATGAAAATGAAAGGATTTTTTAAAATGTACTTCATTTAGCCTATTTATATCCCAGGTAAAATTGTGAGTTCAAAAATACTTTTCCACTATCACGTATATTACAGAATATGTAGACTGTTGCAAGCATAGTAAAATTCTTTTTTGATTTCTAAAGATGCAGTATCCTTACAGCTACATTTTGTACTAAAACCTGATTTACTGCAGAAATTGATCAGAATTGAAGCCTTTTCACAGTATCAACGAGCATGACTGCAGAAACATACATTAAACAGCAACTGTTATGCTATAGCAGAACTGGGAAATTACAACTATCTTTAAATTTCTGTGCACTTCTCCAGTTACAAATCACAGGCAAAGGCATAATACAACAACATGAGCTGGTTTCTTAAGAAGGTAGTAATTTCTTTTATAGTGTTTATTTCCAATTTGAACTTTTCTGATTTTTTTTTTTTTTTAATAAACTTGTTTTTTTTTTTTTTACCTGCACATGGGTGGAGGCACATGGAAGAGCTGAAGTTCATATGCACAAGGGTATGGATGAGCATGCAGGAGTGGGGCTGATTTACTGAACCATCCTAAGACTTGTCTGCTGGGGATGATGCAGCTTCACACACTGACCTTTCCAAAGTTCAAACTAAAAAGTAAGCGGGATATAAATAATGAAACTTACTCCAATCTTGAGGTACCCACCTTCAATAAAGGAGAAAGAGATTTTTTCCATTAAACAGCATTTATTATCAGAAGATAAATTTATAAATGGCAACTAGAATACATTTTCAATGTGGCTAATGGAAAATGAGACTTATGATCACTGTCATTCCAATTATTAAAGGGGAGAAAGGTTGTCCAGCTATTTGTCCATGCTCTGCACTGTGAGTTTACCCCAAACACCAATGCAACTTATGAAATTTTCAACACTGTTAATTATTATACATTACTCCAGCAAATAATCATATACATAAGCAGTCTAAATCTATTTAATTAACTGTGTAAGCATGACACAGAATAAGGAATACTGCATCTTCATCTTCATGTATAAACTGCTGTTGCTATGAGCCAATTTTACAGTGCTGAATAAAACAGGTGCTCAAAAAATGATGACAACTTAAAATTCAAAAACTGCTTGTTCCTTACATTTTCCTAGAATGATGGCTTCTGAGATTTCCTCACAGATCATTGAATTATCATATGGTTTGGGTTGGAAGTGATCTTGCGGATCATTTAGTTCCAACCCCCTGTTATGGGCAGGGACACCTTCCACTAGAGCAGGTTGCTCAAAGCCACATCCAACCTGGCCTTGAACATTGCCAGGGATACAACAGACACAGCTTCTCTGGGCAACCTGTGCCAGTTGAAAATAGGCATTTTGAAAACATACAAAATCTGACACTTTGTGGCATAGTTTCTCTTTTAAGCTGCAATGGGCATGGTGGATGTTTCCTATCCTTACACTCAAAAGCGTAAATGTCTGTCTTTCTGAAAGAACGGGACTCTCTGTATTTGTCTCTCCCAAATGCTCAGTTAAGACGGACCTACTGTTGCGTCAAGATGAAATCTGGTATTTCTGCATCCTACATATGATGTAAGCCTTCACCACAGTTATGAAATGCCATGGACCTGCAGTGAGGTACCAGGATTTCTGAGGAAACTACCCTTGAGCAATTGCCCTTGCTCTTTGCACAAGCACAGAAGTTTGGCAGGTCTGAATCACAGCCACTGAGAGAAGGACACCCTGAGAATCTGCAGGATATCAGATCCACATCCAAACACTCCTCTCCTACAGAGCAAGCTTCTCTCAAAATACTACTGAAGGGGAAAACAAGCCAGAATACAACCTTGCAGAGTATTTGGGCTCAACGCCTGTGGGTGCTGGTATGAATGAGAAACTCACTAAGAACCATACTGGGTACTTGTAACCTAGTTGTGAACTACTGCTGGTTGTGTAAGTTGTCTAGAAGTAACAGAGCAGCACAAAAAGCCCTTACATGTGTGCTTGAAAGGTTGAGGATATACTTCCTGCCTGTGAAAGAAAGAAAATTTAGTGTACACTACTTTACCTTTTGGCTTCATTCTATTACCACTGATGCACTTTGTGTCCCTTGATGCCAGCGCTGCTTTAATCCTGCATCCCTTTGGCGTTCCTTGAATAAGACCAGACCCTCTTTCTGTTGCAGTGCTTCCTATGCATAAAGTAATGGACAACCAGCTGAAAGACAAGGGATTCACACACACCAACCTCAGCCATGGGAAAGGAGCCTCCCCAGTGTCTGTGATACATATGCTTCTCCTTGTAGCAGTTGGGAGCCAAATGCTGAAATAAATTTAAGGCCTCAAAATTTCTCTCAGAGTTTTTCCTCTCTTTATTGACTACAGGGGAAACCTAAAGAGGAGACTGGTCTCTCCCAGTTGTGAATCCTCCCTTTGTGAATAACATCAGAGATGGTCTCTCTCACAGCTCTGCTTGTATGCTAACAGAATGGCTGTATGAGTTTCTGGTCAAATCAACTTAATTTTCTATGTGAGAAAATAAATCATAGATTCTGAAAGGAATTCTGTATGCCATTAGTTCTTCTACTGAATTACTGCTATTCAAGTCATTAGTTGGTAAAATGTTCGTGGGCAGGAAAATAGTTTTATCAAGTGACTTTTACCTGACCTGACTTCTTTCCCTAAACGGTGAGAATGACAGATCCATTTAAGGGGACAATATAAATGTACATAAAACACAGACCTCAGACGTAATCCATGAACCATCTCACGCACAACACTGACAGCTATTTTTTTAAACCAGCAATAGTAATGCTGCTGGTAAAGACCCAGGTCTGCAGCCCCACAATGCTTCATGGCCTATCCAGAACCCCTGGTCCAACACAGCCTTTTCACGCTTTGCATGGACACTTAGGGCCTCTACTTTGCTCCTGATTTGGAGCCAGATACTAAAGTGTTGCCGAATCTGATGGAATTTGATTACCAACCCAGTCAATGGGAATTGATAGACACTTTTTTTCCCACAATGGCTCTGAGTAGCTTGTCTTGGGTTTCTCTGCTGACCACTCGGCAGGCAGGGAGCCTGAGCTAGAACAGTATTGGAGTTCTTTCAGAGAGCTGATAATCTACCCAGTACTGGGGAATATTAAGAATGTACTTAAAGACAATCAAACTCTGAGTCCTGTGAATGCTGTTATAAAGTATTATCCCAGTCATATTAATCCTCAATTAACTACAATTGCTTTCAGTACCTGCATGGGTACTCTGCGCTTACAGATTACCTCAATTCCAGAATTACCCCAACATTACTACAGGTACTTCAGGAACCAGAAATTAATTAAGACTGGTCAAACATTTAAAAATGAACAAGTAGCATCACAAGTTTAATCTGTGCAATTCCTGGAACCAAATATTCATAATTAAATGCATTGCAAAAGACCTTTATGTATACATCTTTCAGCTCTAAGCTATAAAAATCTCAACACTTAAAAAATCTTGCCAAGCCTCCTCTTTGTCAAATTCAGCTGAATAGGCAGATCCTTGCGAGGAAAAAAACCACAGAAACAGTATTTTGTTTGTATGAACAACTGATGACTAAGAGTTACTGTCTTTGCTACACAATTCAATTAATACAAATTGGTTCGCAATTATAGGGCTGTATGGGAATGATCAAGAATTTCCTTTTATTTAATCTGAAAAGGCTTGGATTGAAAATCCCAGCAGAGGCAGCCACTGGTGCCCATATAAAGGACCATTTATATCATACCAGACAGCTGGCAAAACCTTGTTATTCCCTAACTCCCAGTGAGAAACCTAATGTCTTGCAGAGCACCACTGCAGAAACATTTCTCCTTCCTACTTATGGTTCATCCTCTGAGTCCTGAATAATCAGCTCTTTCCTTTATCTTTCTTGCTTTCCAGACACAAATATTATGTTGAAGGAAATGAATGTACTTAATTGTGGTACCTAGCAGGTCAGTGAAACCATCAGAAAGATTAACTTAAACGAGCTTATGTGCTATTTCTGCATACTCCCTGTTTCTGTTGGTGTGGAGTAAATTATTATCTTGAGAGCTATTTTACCCATTATTGCTTTTTCTCTGCAAGAGATGCAGCCGTTTCTTCTCTGTTTTGTTCTGTTGGTACATTCAATTCCATTTCATGAATGGCTACACCACTAACCTTGTTACCAGTGAGTGCAAGATCTGACTATTTCCTTGTGTTCAAATAATGGTCTTGGGGAAGAGAATGCCTGCATGAAAGATAACTGCATGTTGAGAATGGGGTAGTAGTTTTTAGATGTGCTCTTTCTACACAAATCAGAAACAGTTCTAAATAAGTCCATGGTAAAATATAGATACTTAATATTGTACTTTCAGCAGAGATGCTGATGCCCCTTGTTTATTTTACAGACTTCAACAACAACAAAACAAAAGAAAGGAAAATAAAAAGATAACAGAAAAAGGTTAAATGGCTGGTGTCCTCTAGGGCATAATGACAATTGCGGTACAATACTGAAATGCCATCATCATTATTGTAAAAGTCTGCTCAAGCGACCCTTCAGCCCTGACAGCGGGACCTCTCCAACAGAATCTTCTTGCCTACTCACATGCAGCTTGTCTGTAGCACAGCTCAGGTGTAATGTTGACCACCAGCCAGATGGTATTCAAAATAAGGGGAAAAGATGGGATAATAAAGGTCTAGCGGTCTTGCTTTCATCTTCATAATCATCATCAATTTGCGGTGTCTAATCCTCCAATCAGCAGTGATATTTCAGGAACAGAATGTCTGACAGCTGAGAAACCATACAAGGTATAAACACCTTTTTGTCAAAGGATGCAGCATGTAAAATAATGCCCATTCCCATAGCATTTTGGCTGCTATTTCCCAGGTGATTGTGATGACACTTTCAGGGGGTAGCCATGCTGAGGGGCAGGCGGGGTTAACTTCAGATGGTGAGGAGAAGAGTGGCACTTCTTTTCCTGCCTTTTTTTAATATGTTATGTTACGGACATCAGGGGAAGCCCTGCCTGTTAACACTGTAGAGGGGGATTCAGCCCTGCTGAATGCACTCCCGGTAGTTAAGAGACCCAGCTCTTAAACTCGGCTGGAACAGGTAGCGTTTCTCAAACCAGCATGTGCCTACGGCGGTGGAGCGCCAAGTGATCTGAGCGGGAAAAGCTGCGGTCACAGTCTGCACACTTGAATGGCTTCACTCCTGTGTGCTTGCGGTAATGCCTCGTCAGTTCGTCGGAGCGAGCAAACTTCCAGGTGCAGCCTTCCCAGGTACACTTGTAGGGTTTTTCTCCTGGGAAGAGACAAAAGAAAGAGGGGAGGGGGGGGAAACAGGTGGTGACTTCCCCTTGTTGCTCTTAATCCCTGCAACCCCCTCTGCACGCTTCCCATGAACACCCACTGCCTAGGGGTTGCTTCAGGCCAAATTACACAATTACGAGGTACCAAATCTGCTGAATATAAGGAAAGGGCCTTGACATTTATCATTCCTGTGGCATTCACATGACTAAGAAAATCAACAGGATTAAGGCAACAGTATAGATCCTACCTTGCAGGGGTGATGTGGGGATTAACATCAGGACAAAGGGATGTATAATTATTCTCACGATTACCATACAAGTCTGCTACCCCCACCTTGTCAGGCTACACTTTTTCCCAAAATGTACAGATTACCCGATATTTCAGCAACTTAACACAGGCTGCCACATACTTCCAGTTATTTGTATGAAGGTTCCTGACTGTATGTGTAAACACTGCAGGACATTTCTTAGTAAGCTGGTAAAAATGAACTACAATTTCCCAGTTAAAGATAAAAATTCAATTTGTAAAATGTCCTCTATTTATTGCATTGATTTTCAGTAAAATTAATTTTGCATGTAAGATGTTTCCAGGAACAGCGCACAATTTTCAAATGCAGTCAGCCATAAGACTTGCACAACACTGTTCATAAATACTCATTTACATTTATGTGATCAATGTAGATTTTTGGAAAATTTCACCCTCTGCTTTTTACCTAAAGGTAACCTTGATGCATGCCCTGCATTCTGTGTCATATCATGTCAGAGGAGAAAATTAATACAGAAAACCTGTATTTGGTGCTTTCAGAAAGCAAACTGTTATAAAACCCCCATTTTGGCCATGTTTGTACGCTTTACTTATTAGTGATTTCTATGTGATTCTTCAATGTCTGCATGCTAAATGCTCTTGGCAGTTACCTTGATCCCACAGTTGAGCATGCATCAAAAATGAGGGAACTGTGTGAGGTCCGTATGCATCTTCTGGTGTGTTAAAAATTACTTTTTACTTCCCCATCTGAAACCAGCTAATCACAACCAGGACAACAAAACAGCATCTCTGCAGCAACTGTTTCCTTCATCAGGCACAATCATTCCTCAGTTATTTATTATCTCTCATGAATCATGAGCAGCTTGCAAGAAACTACTTCAATTACATGAACCAGTGATGCAACACTTGCTTTGTTGTAGGCAGCACCTCCCTCCGTGTGTCTCTTCAAAAGTCAATAAACGTTTTGCTGAGAGCCCTCAGTTTCAAAAGAAAATTCCCGAGTTAAGAGTACCATCAGGAAGTTCAAACAGCCCTGAAAAGTCCAGCTAAAATGGCCACGGGTGCCTCTGTAAGGAAATCGGATGCTGTACAGACATGTCAGCAGGTTTGTCAGCAACATTTGAGCTCCTTGGGTTGGTACCTTCTGTGCACCATCTGGGCTGTGCTGCAGTTTTGATGTCAGACGGGGGTGGGAAACAGTTGCTGCGAGCTGAACCCAGCTATCTAGGCTCCAAGGTGACCACAGCCCATAGCTGTACCAGCAGCAACTTAGCCCAGATAATTTTATAGTACTTGTCCAAGCACAAAGCACCAAGTAGTGTCCATTGCCCCTGGGTGGCCACGGTGCTGGGTACCTGGAATCCGGCAGCTGTTGTGAGCTGGACAGGCACGAGATACTTGGCAGATGACAAGTTGTATGCTCTTGCCAATGACACAGCGCTACAAAATGTGCTCAGATTCGCCACCAAACTGCCTTACATACATCTTCTTGCCACAAACAGTTGGTGCGGGGCACTGTACAAATATAGCAGTACCTCCATCCAATTTGGCAGGTCTATCCTAACGGTCTCATCACACCACAACCCAGTGGTACAACGATCCTCAATGTACTTTTTAAACTCTTTTTGTTTAAACTCCATGCTACCGCCCCAGTTGGTTTCTTTGATCACAGAGACTTCCAGAGCAAGGCACGGGGATAGTTCTTAACCTCTGGATTCTCGTTTAAAAGCATCTGAAATTCTAAGTCTCTTCTACCACACAGAATCATAGAATCATGGATTCGTTTAGGTTGGAAAAGACCAAATGTTAACCCAGCACTGTCAAGTCCACCACTAAACCCTAAGAACCACATCTACAAGTCTTCTAAATCCCTCCAGGGATGGGAACTCAAACACTTCCCTGGGAAGCCAGTTCTAATGCTTGACAACCCTTCTGGGGAAGAAATGTTTCCTAATATCCAATCTAAACCTCCACTGGTGCAATTTCAGGCCATTTCTTCTTGTCTTATCTCCTCTTACATGGGAGAAGAGACAGACCCCACCTCACTACAACCTCCTTTCAGATAGCTGTAGAGTGCAATAAGGTCCCTCCTGAGCTTCTCCAGACTAAACACCCCCAGTTTCCTCAGCGATTCCTCACCAGACCTATTCTCCAGACCCTTCACCAGCTTTGCTGACTTCTCTGGACTCACTCCAGCACCTCAATGTCTCTCTTGTAGGGATTAGCCCAGAACTGAACACAGGATTTGAGGTGCAGCCTCACCAGTGCAGAGTACAGGGGTATGATCACTGCCCTGGCCCTGCTGGTTATGCTATTTCTGATACAGGCCAGGATGCTGTTGGCCTTCTTGGCTGCCTGGGCACAATCTGCATCATGTTCAGCAGCCATCAACCAGCACGCCCAGGCCCTTTTTCAAGAGCAGCTTTCCAGCCCCTCTTTCCCAAGCCTGTAGCATTGAATGGGGTTGCTGTGGCCCAAGTGCAGGACCCGGCAATTAGGATTGTTGAACCTCAAACCACTGCCCTCAGCCCATTGAGCCAACCTGTCCAGATCCCTCTGCAGAGCCTTCCTAACCTCAAGCAGATCAAAAGTCCCACCCAACTTGGTGTTGTCTGCAAACTTACTGAGGGTGCACTTGATCCCCTCATCCACATAATCGATAGAGTTATTAAAGATATTAAAAACATCCACAAAATCCTTCCTCCTCAATAGCCCCTTTGGTACACAAAATGTCAGATCTTCCTTCCCTTCGTAGAAGACAAACGGAGAACCCAATGCAGGAAGGGATGGCTGGTGAAAGAAATACCAGAAATAGTTTGTCCATTAAACTAGTATCACTTCAGGTAAGAAAAAAAGTTAGATGACGGAAGAGCATGAGTGAGGGTCACTTGCCTGGAGTTCCCAGGCATTGCTTCCAGCCTCCCTTCTCAATGAGTCCTGCTTACGCAGCCCCTATAGGGTTACATGAAAGAGACAGGACTAACCACATTCCTCTCAAGCTATTTACACCACTGAAAGAATATCACTCTTACAAGCTCAACCTAAGAAGACCTTTCATTATTTTCAATTAAATATGCATATAGCATAAGAAGGTAAAAAAAGGCAAAGCAGCATTACTCTGGAGACATTCACTCATATGTATCTTAAAAAAAGCCACTGTAAAGAAAACTGTGAAAGATAGGATTTTTCATTAAGATCATTTAACATTTTACACAGACCTAATTTTTAGAGGAAGAATAATATTACGTCTTTGTTAAACACCTATGTTACCTGTAGATGGACAAGTGCTAGGAAGAAAATGCTCTTCACATGCAACATTAAACTAATTCTTAACCTTTTGTTACATCATGAAGACTGACCACTGAGTTTGTAAAGACCAGAAGATAAAGGAGTTGAAAGGATGGAGAAAGGACCATCAGGAGCAGAATCGCTTAGAGGATGGGAAGCTGGTGTCAGGTATCACACACCATATTTGGCTGATGAATGTGAGCTGAAATTCTCAGCACAATCAAGAGAGAAGCTGGACCTTAGCAGGGCACCCCAGAAGGCACTGGGGAGGTGGAAAAACTAGTTTGTTAACTGGAAGAAACTAGTATCAGTGCTTATGTATCTCTCTATCTCCATTTCAAGGCTGGATTGCAGTGGAGTTGAACTCAAATACTCAACCATTTTGACACTTCAGACACTTCTGCCTCTGTGCGAGCACTTGAGCTCAAGTGTCTAAGAAACTCTCGGGTTCAAAGTGTGGGCACGTTTTGGCTGCTTCGATGGCTTGGCAGCCATTTGGAGCAAGGGTGCAGAGTTACTGTCACGCAACCAGAGACTCGAATTCTCATTCAGCTCTAGAGAGCAAAAGCAGGTGGTGTGAGTCTTGCCCAGGGTACAGGAAACATGGGAATGAAGAAGACAAAATTGCAGACAGTTTTTGAATGACATCTGTAGAAAAAGACTTCAGAACCTGCAGCAATTCACAAGAGGAGAAAAAGAAAACTGCAGGAAGATAAACTCCCATTAGTCCAATCTTCTGAATCTGTACAGTTTTAGTCTTGAAGCTACCCATTTAAAAATAAATGCCTGAAGCTGTGAGCATTTTCACAGGAGCTTACCCTCCTCTACTTTTGCACCTGCCTTTAAGAGCCCTATTGTTTGTCCTGAAACCTGACAAAAAGATCCCAAAACACAGAGAAATTGTATTCTGATGTTATTTCGCAGCTTTGCCTTGCAATGCATGGACAGTGAAAAGTATGCCATGACAGGCATTTAGACAGATCAAGTGGGATCCTGGAGCATGAAAAATTTATTGCAGACAGTTCCCTGCAGAAAATGAATATTTTCTATTGTTTGGGGAAGTTATTTATGAAGTTTTAAAGGTATGTTGCAATGCCCCAAATAAAACTAGTGATTTTTTAAAACCTTGCCTTTTGTAGTCCAGATGCCACAATACAAATTAGTATAATTACTTTTACCATTATTTTTCTTACTCTATCATGGCTTCTCTCACTTAAGCACTTAAGAACATAGTTACAACTGTTACTCATTAAATCTCTCCAAACTCGAGCAAATAATGAATTAATAATGCTGAATAATGATCACTGTTCAGTCAATCCTTCCAAAATTTTTCACCACCCCTACAGCCCGTCTTCCCCTTATTCATGTACTCTAACATCTTGAAGATCAGTCACCCTGACGACATCCACATATTCCCTATGTAGGTACCAGCAGGAGACC